GAAATACATACGACAGCTGAGTAGAAAGAGATCTGGGTCGAGCTGAAAATGACGTCATTAATTTTGACACTTGACTCTATATCTATACAGATATAAGCTAGTCAGATGCTTTTCGATTTTTGTAGTCAAAAAATAAAGGAATCGGGAGCACTTTATCGATATATAATAATAATAATAATACATTACATTYATAAAGCGCAGATTAGCACAAGATGTTCATCTGCGCTGAATACAGAAACAATACACAATAACTAGAAACATAAAAGCTAAGTTAATCAATGRGAATTGCAAAAACAACTAAATAAAGGCTTTCCTATAAAAATATGTCTTTAAGTGTTCTTTAAAAGAAGGTAATGATGTAATATGCCTAATACTAGATGGTAAAGTGTTCCATTCTACTGGCGCAGCGTATGAAAAAGTCCTACCACCAAGAGTAGGTCGAAGTTTAGTCGGTGGAGGTGCTAATAAAAGCTCATTATTGGACCTAAGATTATAACCAGAATGCTTTTTGATAGAAATTAAATCAGATAAGTAACTAGGAGCGAGACCATGAATAGCCTTAAAAGCGAAAATAAGTATCTTAAAACGTATTCTAAATCTCACTGGTAGCCAGTGGAGATCAGCCAAGACAGGAGTAATATGCGAAAAGCGTGGAGTTAAAGACACTAAACGAGCGGCAGCATTCTGTATGCGTTGCAGTTTAGCTACTTGTTAAGCAGGTAGCCCATAGTATAAGCTATTACAGTAATCTATGCGGCAAGTTATAAAAGCATTGACTAGAGTGGCGCAAGAATCAGGAGATAGGAATTTCCTGATCTTCCTAATGTTATATAGATAATAAAAAGAAGATTTGCATATGCTTGCTATCTGCTTGTCTAAAGATAAGTTAGTGTCAAAGATAGTTTCAAGATTCCTGACAGAAGATGAGGGCTTGATTGAAGAATTGCCAACAGTGAGCTGCTCAATTGATTGCTTGGACAGTTGCTGTCGCTTGCCAATGATCATGAACTCTGTCTTCCCATCATTCATTTTCAATTTGCTGCATGTCATCCATCCTTGAATATCTCTGATGCAGTTCGTTATAGTATCCGTAGCTTCATTTTGGCTGTGCATGTGTCCTGGCTTGAACGAGAGGTAAAGTTGGCTATCATCCGCATAAGCATGAGCTTTTAC